CTATAAAAGATAAATATTATTATGTCTACTCTTTTATCATTTGAAGATGAAAAAAACAAAATTTTAAAAGAAATAAACAAGATCCCAGACATACGTAAAATAAATAATGACCTACAAATACGATTAAATGAATTAACAAAGCAATCTGCGGAATATTACCAATGTGCTATTAATAATTATAAAATCTGTAATGATCAAGAGAAAGTCATTACCAGTTTAAAACAAGAAATTCAGGAAAACGCTAAAAATGAAGAAGAATTAAAGAAGATTAAAGAAGAACTAAAGGATATTAAAGAAAAAAAAGATTCTTTAACGAAGGAATATGAACAAAAAAAACATACAATTTGTAATTTCTCACAAATTAATTCAGAATTAAATAACAAAATTAAAAATCAACAAAAAGAATTTGAAGAGCAGATTAATAAAATTAAAGCCCAACAAGAAGAATATGAAAAAAGAGTTAATGAATTAAACGCTCAAAATGAAGAAATAAAACTACAGTTAGAAACAAAAGATGATGAAATTAAAAATAAAGCACAAGAATTAAGTGATAAAACAAAAGAATTTGAAGAGCAGATTAATAAAATTAAAGCCCAACAAGAAGAATATGAAAAAAGAGTTAATGAATTAAGTGCTCAAAATGAAGAAATAAAACAAAAATTTGAAGAATCTAAAAATGATATTAAATCATATAAAGGGATTATTGAGGGTTATGAACAACAAATAACAAATTTAAATAGTCATATAAATGAATTACAAATGCAAAAAGAAAAAGATAATAATAATCTTCAAATACTGAGAGAAATACAAAAGAAAGAGAAAGAAGAAGAAAACATTAAAAATAAAAAAGAAGAAGAGGCTAGAGAAATAATAAAAAATATGAGAATTAACTCAACTGTTATAAGAAATACATCTTCTTCTCCTCTTATTTTTTATCAAAAAAGACAAAATACAAATAATACTTTTGAAGTAATGATTTATTGTAGTGATGAAAGATGTTCATTTATTGGTATTCATAATCCACAAGTTAATAGTAATAATAGATATATTAATTTACAAGTAATTCAAAACCATTTTGCTATTTTCAATTTATTACCAGGAACTTATCATGTTTGCTCTTATTCAAAAGAATCATTGGAGAATATTGGTTTTGTTGAAGTGACAATTCAACCACAAATGTAACCATTCTTATTAATGTTGTTTAAGTTATTAAATTTCTAAACAGCAGCATCATTTAATTCAAGTTATTAAGTAAAATTTCCTTGTTTTTTTTTACACCTCTCTTCATAGAATATAATTAATTAATCATTTATTCATTTTGTATTTTTTTAATTATTCTCTTATAACTTTATTATTTTAATAGAAATAACCACACAAATTAATCATTATTCATGTCACTTACATTCACATCTTTACTAACAATTTGTATAATAATTATTATCTCTACTTTTACTTTAACCTTCACCAAAGAAAGTTTATTAGAGTTATATTATTAATATAACATTTATAAAACGAATTATTCATGTCTATATATAAATTAATGAATCAACATATCTCAAAATAAATACAACTTAAAGAGATATTTGAATGTACTATGTTCTATTTCTATAATTATTTCATGATAATAATAAGAAAATCAGTTTAAAGAAATATTATTTTTTTCAAAAGTTTAAGTCATGATGACTAACTCAAGTTTATGAAGAAATGATAATAAAGAAATGTTGGTGTTGTTATGTTATTCCTTGATGATTTTTGTTTTTCATTCATATTTTTATTTTATAAGTTTTGAAAATGGTTTAATTATAATATAATTTACTAGTTCATTTGTGTAATTTCAATTTATTTTTTGTTATTCTTATCCATTTCCTTTCTTATTCATTTTCTTTCTTCATCATAATGTTAAGAGAGTATAATTAGTGTTATCAATCATTTTGTTTATATACAATATGTTTTGTGAAATGGTAAATTATTGTTAAATTATAAACAATCGTTATATTTAATAGTTTGACTGTTTACATGAAGTTAAAATGAATAAAACGATAGAAACAAATGACTGTAACAATAAACCAGTTATGTGGTGATGATATTCATAAATGATAAGGAGTTGGTGAATATTATAAACATCACCATAATTCGATAGTCGGATTAATAAAATAGATCTCATCTCATTATTTGTTTATTTCATGAAGAAATCAGTAGGTGGACATTGTTTCAAAAGAAATAAGAAAGAAAGTCGACCATATTATTATTATCAAGAAGGAAATGAAGTTGGGATTATAGTAGGATTACTTAATGTAAATGGATATGATGTAATTTTGAAATGGAAAGGAGTTAGTGATGGAAAGTCATATTGTTTTGGTGATTTTGAAGAGATACGAGGAATGCACCAAATACGACAAAAGGATATTTTAGAAATATACCAAAAGAAATTAAAAGAGATGCATAACACAATGGATGAGTCTGAAATAAAGAAAAGAGTAAGTTATTTGATGATGAAGATGATTTGTGAATGGGTTAATGAAGAAATGATAAATGAACTCCACATTACATTGAAACAATCAAGATTCTTTGGGATTAAATCAATTGAAATTAATAGAATCGCAATTGAAAATGAACTAACAAGGGCATTCGGAATAGCAATAAGAAAATTGTTATCAAAACATATCATTTCAGAAGCAATTCAATATAAAGATGGCGATAATTTAAGTCCTTCACATTTAATTAAGAAGTACAATCCACAGATAATGAAATTGTTTAAACAAATAAAAGAAAGAACATTAATTAATATTAATGAGAATGAAGAAGATAATTCAGACACAGTGATTGATGATAGAAATTAAATATGACATAATAAAACAAGAGAGATATATGAATTTTGAAATAAAAAAGAAAATATCAAATAAGATGGTTATTAAGTCATGTTTTTTTGTTTAAATTCATAATAACTAGACATTAAAGTATCGTTTTATATAATTAAACATAAATAGAAAAATGAATCAAATGATAAGGTTAATAGTTGATTCAAAAAATAAAAATAGATGAAAAGAAGATAGTCATTTAAAGCAAATTACAACTCAAATAGAAAAGGAGTTAAAGATAAAAATAATATTCAAGTTGATTGAGTATAAACATTAATGAAATGAAATATTTTATTTACTCCTAAATATAATAAGAAAAAAAATAGTTGAAATAGGTGAATAAAGATATAAAATTAAAATTAAATTACTAAACAATAATAATTGAAGATATGATAAATAATAGCAGATAATATGGATAATAAATTCATATAATAAATGGTATAATAAACAATGAATTATCTATGGATTATAATATTGAATTATTATATTTTAAAAAATTTAAGAAAAATATAGATTAACAATAATTTAATATAATAACTGTTATTTTATTAAATAACTGATTAGATTAAGATTATTGATGTTAATATAATTTAATAACAATCAATAATGATGATACATAATGGCAAACACTAAACAATACATAAAATGATTAGAATTATAAATAATAAAATGAATATACTGTTGAAATACCATAATGAGTAAAACAACTACACATGGAGTGTAATATAAAATTAATCAATATTTTGTGTCAATACTGAAACATTAAATATTATTTCACAATACATTAGGAATAATAAACAATAATTCATAAATGTTGTTCATGTCGTTAATCATTTTGATCTTCATATCTAATTAAATTGTAGATAAAATAAACAATAAAAATTATTTCATTTCAATTACAATGATTCGTTTAGGTGTGAAATTATAGTTTCCACAAAGTGCATTTCTTATTCCTTCATATTCAAAAGATTCTTGTTTGCTATAAGAGATTTCCTTACCTTGTTCTTTGTGAATACTAATGTCATACCCACCATTCCCAATTCCAAACAACCAATCAGTTGTTTGGTTATTTAAATAAAATGCATATTCTGGTTGTTTAATATTGAATTTCATCATTCCTTCAATTCTTCCATTTGATTCTAATGAAAATACAAATGATTTTGAATCATTTATAAAATCACCAACTTTATCAATTTTAGAATTAACATATCCTCCAAATTGATTTCCTCTTGAATCTTCAATAACAATTATTATATGTTCTTTATTCATTATTCTTTGATCAAATACTGATGTGTCTTTATTCCAATCATCAATATTTGAATCAAATAATATATTTCCTAGTTTTCTATTTGTCCATTCTTCTATCTGTTGAATTTCTTCCACTTTTATCATTCCTTGTGCCTTTTTTATTATCTTCTTTCTTTCTAAATAATCACTATATTGCTTTTCCCATTCTTCTTTATTCTTATTAAATTTTTCTTTAATATGATCTGTTTCTTTTGGTGTTCTGAATAGTTTGTCTTTCATTATCATTTCTTCAATTGAAATGATTTTACCTATTAATTCATTCCGTGTTTTACTTAGTGTTTCTTCATCACTATTACATTCTTTTATGATTCTTGTCATTTGTTTCTTCATTATTTCTATTTGGTTGATTGTTTCTTGACTTTTTTCTATCACTAATTTTCTTCTCCTTTCGGTTTCATCAATCCTATCAAATATTCCTTCTCCTCTTTTAATTGCTTGTTCATATGTTTCATCTGGTTTTATTTCAAATACTTCATTTTTAATACTTCCTAAATAATATTGATAATTCTTAGTAGTATCATCAATTGATTGTTGAATGTTTGGAAGTGTTTCTACTACTTCTTTAATTAATTGATTATTCTTTTTTATTAACTCTTCCATTTTAATTTAATTTGATGTTTATAAGTTCAAAATATGGATGTTTAAATAGTTAATCCACGTTATTAACACTTAAATTTATATGGTTTTCAATAATCCAATTATTCAAAAATAAACTCCAAACAAAACAATATCCCTTAATTATTTTATACTTATTTTTTTTATTCATTACTTTGATAACATTAGAAGATTTGTGAATGTTTTTGTATGTACGTTTCATTTGTTTAATTCATTCATTTTTATTAATTTGAAAATGGTAATACATTTTTCTTTCTTTTTTTGTTGTGGTGTTGTTTATACTTCCCCTGAAAAAGTGAGGTTAAAAAGAAAGTAGCAACTACTTCTATTATGTTTTATTTTTATTAAATTATTACTTACAAACCTAAAAAAGATTAATTAACAAGACTAGCCTTAGTTGATAATATGATATGGAGGACAAGTTATTTAATTTTATTTAAATCATTTATATCTTCTATAAAGAGTGTTTTAATATAAAAGTTAGTACAAGATAAATTTTTTAATAACTCATAACCATTTTTTTAATTAAAAAATTTGTTTATATTCACTTATTATTATTCATATATTTATTAGGAAAATAAAAAAATGTTAATATTACTTTGCTTACATCTATTACAAACTAGATTTTGTTTTGATTATAATGGGTTAATAAAACATAACTAAAAGAAAAGGAGAATATTACACTAATAATATACATTATTAAAAATAATGAATAAAAGTAGTAGAATAACAAGTTAAATTATCTATTAAAATAACCTTTAACTCCAAAGTATTTTAAATAATTATTTCTAAGATTTTCTATTAAACTAAAAAAAGAAAATATTTTTGATTGATAGAATGTAAGTTTAACTAAAAAGTAATGAAACCAAATAAAGGAAAAAAGGTTGAATATTAGAAAGTATGTTATAGCTATATTTTTTTAATAGAAAATCAATAAAAAAAAAAACTGTTAATTAAAATTTTTCTCCATTAAATATTTTATTTAAAAAAAATTATTTTATTTTGAAATAATGTTATATATATAGTTTATTTTAGTATTTACAAATTATCACCATTTAAGTTTGTTTTGTATTGTTTTATTAACCTCAGAAATTAATTACAAAATATAAAAGGTTTATGAGCGAAAAAAAAATAAGGGAAATAACAATTTAAAGACAAAAAAGTTTATATAAAAATTAAAAACGATAATTAACAGAAAAATTAAAAAAAATAATAAAGAACTAAATAAATAAAATAATAAGAAAAAATTAAAAAATGTCAACGTTAAGAAGTAGTACGTTTCAATTAGAACAACCAGATTTTATTGGAGATGAACGTCCTATGCCAAAAACTCCAAGGACGATGACATCTATTTCAAAAGGAAAGATAGATATGAGTGGAAGAAAACCATTACCGAAAGGGAAGATGACGAGATCTACAGTTGCAACGATAGCAAAATACCAAGATATTGAAGTAGAAAATCCAGATAATTCATATAATGAAGATAAAGAATGGAAAAATGAAGGGACAAGTCAATGGGTTGTAATCAAAAAGAATAAAAATATACAAATGAAATTAAACTTTTTAATGGACAGATCATGTAAAGTTAAACAAGATCTTAAATCAAAAAGAAATGTATTAATGTCTGAAATGAGAAAAGTTCCAGGTCTTATTATTAATGAACTTATTCAATATTATTATGAACCACATCAACATGATTTAACTACTGATACAGAAGATTTTGATTTATATGAAAAAATGAAAACATTTCAAATGGATGATAAGCATAGACTTCATTATAAAAATGTAGTTAATGAATTAGTTAATACAGAGAAAACATATATTCAAGGATTAGACATTATAATAGATGTGTATCTTGATACATTAATTGGGTCATCAAAAAAACTAGCAAAAGAATTAACTCCAATTAAAGATCAAATTAGTTTAATATTACGTTCACATCAAGAACTTTTAAAAGAACTTTTAGGTGCATTAATTAAAAATGGTGAATGTCCTTTAATAGGTGATATTATTGTTAATTTCTCTCCATCATTAGAAGATTGTGCAAAGTATATATTTAATTATCCTACATATTTAGAAAAGATTACATCAATTATGGATAGTTCTGCTATTTCTCTAACTTCTAAAAAAGCAGAAGATTATAGAAATTCACATCAAAATTGTTACGTCCAAAATATTCAACAATATTTAATTACTCCTATTCAAAGAATTCCTAGATATGTACTTTTAATATCTGATTTATTAAGAAATATCTCTATGGTATTTGGTGATGCTCCAAGACTTATTGAAGCTCATAAAGCTATTAAAAAAGTGGCTACAACAATTAATGAAAAGGGGCATGAATATGAAGCCGATGAAAAATTAGCATTTGTAAAAACATTACTTACTAACTTTACTCCTAAAGAAATTAAAAGAGAGTTTATTTGTTGTGGACCTATGTATGTTGTAAACGATAGAGTTTCTTTACCAACTGTTTGGAAATATTTCTTTTTATTTAGTGATATTCTTGTTGTTACAGAAGTTATTCAATTACAAGGAAAAAGTATTAAAGATAGAACAGAAACTTTGTTTGAATCATTACTAAGAATTCCTGAATTAAAAGACCTCCATGACTCTAAATTTGAAGTAGAACAAATTATTAGATTTTATAATGACACTACAGTAGAAGTTGAAGAAGATACTAAATTTGTTCATAATATGTTTACAATTAAAGAAAATAATAATGATTTACTTTCTGAAACAATTTCTTTAGCTTCTACAATGAGTGATTGTTCTATTGCTTGGTTTACTGCAATTAAATCAGTTTTAAAACATTTTATGACATCAGAAGATTAACTGTTTTTCATTAATTGCTATAGTATCACTTTTAATTCAATTATTTCTCTCCATTTTTTTATTAAAATAAAATAACTCTTCTTTCAAATTTAATTTTTGTATTAATTAAAGAATCTAAGTTTTTAATTTTAAATTAAAAACATCAATTTATTTCCATTTATAACAAATAAGAGCATCTTTTATTAGGATTCTTTATACCGATTTTTAATAATATTTAGTCTTATTAATGTTACATTCTTTTCTCTAGATCATTATTTTTCTTATGAATTACTTTGAAAAATATAATTCTATAAAATAATTAATTATCTTCTTTTTTTTAAATTCAAATCATAATTGAATTGTTGAGATTATTTTCTCTATGTTTGAACTTCGTTAAATTAGTTAGAAAAATCTTATTTTTAGTACAAAATCTTTAAGTTAATTAATAGGTATTGGTGTGTTAACTAGAAAATGAAATATTTTTTAATGTAACAAGACATTTAATGCAAATAAACTTTTTTGTTACAAGTATCAACAAATGATATGAAAATAAAGAATAAACTATAATGACAATAAGACAACCTTATTAACTACATAAAGAGAAAGTATTATTAAACATGTTTTTATAGCTAGACTGATAAAATAAAAAAGTTTTATGAATTGTTATATTATCTTCGTTAATCTCTCATATATAATTCTTGGATATTAATTGTGGTACTTAGTGGTATTTATTTAAAAAAAAACTTAATTATCTTAATTATATGTTTCAATCTTTTTAATTTCATATTAACTAAAATCTATTTTATCCTCTTTATCACTCTATTTTCTTTATTCCATAAAGTATTTATTAAATTAAATACTTCATTTTTATCTATTAAACAACACGAGGTTTGTGTTAATATTTTTGTCTTATTTATTCCTTTTATTCAGGATATCCACAAAACAAAATCTTTTTCTTTTAACAAAATAAGATAAGAAAGAACTTTCTTTGAAATGTTAATGAACAATTGTTTCAATGCTTTATACTTGAAATGCCATTAAAATAATTCTATTTACAAAATAAGATTCTTCTATATTCAATAAAATTACTCTTTAATTCCATTTTTTTTTTTTTGAAAAGTTCAAAAAAATAGTAAATTACTAAGTAAATTACAACAGAATATTTTCGAATAGTTATAAACATTGTTTGTTTTATACAATAGTTGGCATCTTGTCATTCATTATTAACAATTATTTCTAATTGCTTTTGAGTGGTATGAAAGGATTTTATTTAATAAGAAATTATCAATGAATGATTCTCATTTCAAAGTTTTTAACTCTGAAATATTATAACCTATTCTATTTAAAGCATTATTCTATGAACTTTTTATTCAAACTTACTTAAATATGTCTTCTTATGATATAGTCATTATTGGAGCTGGTTGCACTGGTGCTTGTTGTGCAATGGAATTGTCTAAATACAAGAACCTTAAGATTGCCTTGTTAGAAAAGGCTAGAGATGTTTCTACTGGAGCTACTTCTGCTAATTCTGGTATTGTTCATTGTGGTATTGATACTACATTAGAAACATTGAAAGGAAGACTTGTAGTAAGAGGAAATACTCTTATCCATGAACTTCAACCAAAACTTAACTTTGGTCTTACTACTTGTGGAGAGTTGATGGTTGCTAAAACTGATGAAGAAATACCCAATTTAAATAAATATATGGAAATTGCTAAAACTAAAAATGTTCCAGTTGAGTTATGGGATTATGAAAAAATTCATAAAGAAGAACCAAATCTCAGTGAAAATATCAAGAAAGCTATTTATTGTCCAACTACTTCTGTTCTTGATCCTTATGAATTTACTATTGCTACTTGTCTTACTGCTAAGGCTAATGGTGTTCATATCTATACATCTACTACTGTTAATGGAATTAAGAAGATTGATAATGGATATGAAGTTGTTTGTGAAAATGGAAAGAAGTTTATTGCTAAAGTTTTATTAAATTGTGCTGGTGTTTTTGCTTCACAAGTCTCAGAAATGTTATATCCAGCTGATTTCCATATTACAGCAAGAAAAGGAGAAGAATATTTGTTAGATAGAAAGTTACAAGGAATGGTTAAACATGTTATTTTCCCATGTCCAACAGGAGTAACAAAAGGTACTCTTATTATTCCAACAGTTGATGGTACTATCATGGTTGGACCAAACGCTGATATTCAAGACTCTTACACTGATGCAACAACAACCAGTGAAGGATTAAAAAAAGTATTTGACCTTGCAAAATTACTTGTTCCAACAATTAATAATATGGATGTCATTTCTGCATTTGCTGGATTAAGACCTGCAATTATTGAACATAATGATTTTGTTATTAGAGAGAATGAGAAATTCCCATGCTTCATTGAAGTTGTTGGTATTCAATCACCAGGACTTACTGCATCACCAGCTATTGCTGAATATACTAAAAATATCTTTATTGAAGCTGTTAAAAAGTCACATCCAGAGATTGTATTAGAAGAGAAGAGTGATTTCAAATATGTACCATTAAGTAAGAAATTCAGAAATATGAATGATTCTGAAAGAGCTGAAGCTGCTAAAAAAGATGCAGCATATTCTAAAATTGTTTGTGTCTGTGAAAAAGTTACAGAAGGAGATGTCAATGCTGCTATTGATGAAGGTGCTAGAACTGTAGATGCAATTAAATTAAGAACAAGAGCTGGTATGGGAAGATGCCAAGGATCATATTGTACTCCAAGAGTCATGGAAATTCTTTCAAAACGATTGAATATTCCAATGACTGCTGTTGCAAAGAATTATCCAGGATCAGAAATAGCACCATACATTGCTGGTGGAGAAGAAAAGAAACTTACAGAAGAATATCCATCATGGGAAACAATCCCAAACCCACATATTACCAAACCATGTAATGGTGAAACTATTGAACGAAAAGAATTTGATATTGTAGTAGTTGGAGGTGGACCATCTGGACTTGCAGCAGCCAAAGCAGCACTTGAAACAAAGAAAGATCTTAAGGTTGCTGTTATTGAACGTATGGAAAGAGTTGGAGGGGTTTTATTACAATGCATTCATTCGGGATTTGGACTTGGAAGATACGGAGAAGAATTGACAGGACCAGAATATGCATATAGACTTGGTGAAGAAACAGAAGCTGCAGGAGCAGTACTTATGGTAAATACATATGTTACTGATGTTGAAAATAAAGGAGAAGAATATGTTGTTAAAGCAGTTGTTTATGGAACAGCACCAGTTGAAATTCATGCTAAGAAATGTATCTTTACAGTTGGATGTCGTGAAAGATCAAGATTTGGTATTAAAGTAGCAGGTACTCGATGTGCAGGTGTTATGACAGCAGGACTTGCACAAGCATTAGTTAATTATAAAGGAATTCTTCCAGGAAAGAAAGTTGTAATTCAAGGATCTGGAGATATTGGATTGATTATGGCAAGAAGAATGGCTCTTGAAGGAGCTAAAGTACTTGGAGTATATGAAATTCTTCCAAAAATATCAGGTTTACAAAGAAATGTAGTACAATGTTGTAAAGATTTTAATATTCCAATTCATTTGTCAGAAGTTGTTACTAGAATTAATGGATATCCACGTATTACATCAGTGATAATGACAAAATGTGATCCAAAGACACTTGCACCAATTGCAGGAACAGAATATGAAATTGAGTGTGATTGTCTCTTATTATCTGTTGGACTTATTCCACTGCCAGATTTAACTCAACAAGCTGGACATAATGTACAATTAAATCCAAGAACTAGAGGACCAATTGTTGATGGATTTAGATGTGTTGAAAAAGGAATTTATGCAGCTGGTAATCAATTACATGTACATGATCTTGCAGATGAAGCATCTAATGAAGGAGCTATTGCAGGAGAAGCTGCAGCACTTTCATTAGGAGGAGAAAAAGAAGCAATTAAAGTTATTCCAGCACCAGAACTTCTTTATTGTGTACCAGAAAGAGTAGTTATTAGTGATAAGAAACAAAAATTATCATTTAGATTTAGACAAGATTTTGGAAGTGCACATGTTATAGCAAAAATAGGAGAAACTATTATTGGAGAAGAAGAAATTGAACATGCTATTCCAGCAGAAATGGGACATGTTTGGGTAATTCCTAAAGATTGTCAAATTGGACAAGAAGTTACACTTACAGTTATTCCTAAAGCACATGAAGAAGTAACAGAACAAAAAGAAGGAGAAATAGTAAAACATATGAATTGTATTGTATGTCCAAGAGGATGTCCAATTGAAGTTAAGATTGATGCTAAATCAAATGAAATTACATCAATTAAAGGAAATTCATGCCCAAGAGGAGCTGCTTATGTTAGACAAGAACATATAGAACCATTTAGAGTATTTTCAACAACTCTTCCAGTAGAAGGAGGAAATTTGATAAGAGTACCAGTTAAATTAACCAAACCAGTACCACGATCAAAGATATTTGAAGTAATGGAAATTATTCATAAACAATCACCAATTAAAGCACCAATCAATAAAGGACAAGTGTTAGTAAAAATACCAAAAATGACAGATATTGTTGCATGTTATCCAGTTGTTGCTTTAGAAGAATAAACACAATTAATTCAAATTTAAATCATTAAATATTCAAAAATAATAAACCTTTTTTCTTTTTTTAACACAAATAAAATAAATTAAACTCATAAATGAAATAATTCTTTAAATGTCTTCTCATCACCACCACAAACATAATACACCATTTCTTCTTTTGATAAATTTAAAATTGCAGAATAAATTTGTCTAATCACAAAAACATCTTTTGGTTTTCTTAATGGACTTCTAAATGATGCTACAAAAACATTTTTATCTCTTTTAATAATAGCTAAATTACCATATTTTTCATGTAATAATTCTCCTATTTTTTCTGAGAAAAACCGACCATATTGTTTAATAATTGTTTCTCCAATTCCATTTCCTTTATGTTCATGATAATGAAAATTCTCCTTAACAAAATCACTTAAATAAATCATTCTTCAATCTTGCATTATTGTATTATGTTATTTTATTGTTTATTTCTTATTTTATTGTGTCTTTATTTTATTATTTATTCTCATTTAATTAACTGTATCATCTGAATTTATTTTTATTGGGTATTAAACATCATCATTCTTCAATTTCTTTTTATTTTGAATAAACATATAATAAACATTATATTAATATGAGTAATTTCATCACCAACTACATCAAGTATATCATTTTCTTTAATATTACCAATATTTTTAATTCAATTCATTATCAAATTAATTGTATGTTAATTAATAAATACTATCATCATTATAAATGCACATCCTACTATTATAATAAAAGATAATATAATAACATACATAATCATTAAAACATTCTTTCAACAATGAATGAGATATTTTTTAACAAAAACAAAACCAGACTATAAATAGTGATTCAAATCATTTATTTATTTTAATATTCTGTGTATTATTTCTGACATACCCTTCAAATCTTTTTAATATCAAAATAATAACAAAAAAGAATATACAAAAATACCTCAAAAATATCATAAATATTTGATAAATCTTTCTATTTGTAATAAAAAAAGATATATAAAACTAAAATTTAGAATAAAAAAAGAAATAAATAAAAAATAGAAATATCCCCAATCAAATTATTCATTACTAATCTCTTCTTCACCAGAATCTGCTTCTTCCATTCCACATTCTTCACAAGAACAAGCACCATCATCAAAATTGGTTTTGTAAGTAATACCAGAAAAAGTAACAGTGCCTTTTCCAATAACTTGGAAAATAACACGAGAACCAGTTTCTATTTCAATATTTGTTTTAATTTGATACATACCAGCTTTTTCATCTAAAATGCATAATAAAATTGGCTTTTCATCCTTTACCATAAAAACTTTAACTGAATTTGATTGATCTTCAGATGGTTGAAGTGCAATGTTAAAGAAGTCAAGTGCAAATCCCTCTACAATTTGAACAGTAGCCATATTACCTGCTGGAACAATTTCAACTAAAAGTAAATAACAGTAATAATTAACAATATTATAAAATAGGGCAATTCTAAATAAAATAACAAACAATAATTTTCTACTTCCATCTACCCTCTTTTATTTTTTTAAGTTCTTCTAAGGTTTTTATTTCTCATTTATTTTTTTTCATTTTTTCCTTTTATTTTGACTTTCTTTGTATGAAAAGTTTTTGTGTTTTATTTATTAACAAATTCCTCTTTATGAATTTGTTTTTTTTGTTTTTATATTAAAAAAGAAAAACACAATTTTATTAAATGAAAAAAAATAAAATAAAAATAAACAGGAAAATGAAGAATAGTAAATTTTATTAAAAAGAAACTAAAAAATAAATACTAGGGTATTCATCTGTAAAATAATTGGAGACAGCGAGCTTATGTCAACAAACAATAAAGTCACTGTAATCGATTGCCACGGACATGTTCTTGGACGTGTTGCGTCCGTTGTTGCTAAACACCTTCTTTTAGGACAAAAATTTGTTCTTGTTAGATGTGAAGATCTCCAAGTATGTGGAACACTTAAAATGAGATTAGTTCAATGGGAACTTTATCAAAGAAAAAGAGTTAATACTAATCCAACTCGTGGTGCTTTCCATCATCGTTCACCAGCTGATATGGTTCGTAAAGCTGTTAGAGGAATGCTTCCAAAGAACAACTATAGAGGAAAACTCGCTCTTAAGAATCTTAAATGTTTCGAAGGATGCCCAGCTCCATATGACAAAATGAAGAAATCATCAATCCCAGAAGCTGCTGCTATTTATTCATTCAACCCAACAAGAAAGAGAACTCTTCTTGGAGAACTTGGAACTGCTGTTGGATGGAAATATGCTGATGTTGTTGCTAAGAATGAAGCAGAAAGAAAAGAAAGAGCAGCTAAATGGTATGCTGCAAAACAATTGAAACAAAAGGCTGTTGCTGAAGCTAAAGAAAAGATTCTTGCAGATGAAAAGTATAAGGCTAAAGTAGCTATTCTTAAGAAATTCGGTTATGCTTAAGTCTAGTGGATTTTGTTGTTAAATCCTTTTTAGTGTTATTTCTTTTGGTTTTATTTATTTTACAGAAAATTAAAATATTCAACATGAATAATATTTATTTTTCAATTAGATTATTTAAATTAATAGAAATTATTTAATATTCATTGGCATTTCTTTGTATTTTTTTTTTTCAATGGAAGTTATTAATTTTCTTGTTAGTTGTTACTTCTTATGTTTCTTAATTAATTTGAATTATATTGTAATATATAACATTAAAAAATAAATTAAAAAGTAAATCAATTTAAATCAGTTAATTCCAATGGGAATTAAAGGACTTTCAAAGTTATTGGCACGGTATGCACCTAAATCTATGAAAGAAGGAAAAATTGATCAATACAGTGGAAGAGTTATTGCAATAGATGCAAGTATTCTTGTTTATCAATTTATTTCTGCTGTAAGAGATACAACTGGAGCTACTATGGTTGATGAGTTTGGAGAAACAACAAGTCATATCATCGGAACTTTTTATCGTACAATAAAATTAATAGAAAGTGGAATAAAGCCAATATATGTATTTGATGGAAAACCACCAGAAATGAAGGATGGAGAATTACATAAAAGAAAAGAAAATGCACAAAAAGCACAAGAACAATTAGATAAAGCACTTGAAGAAGGAGATAAAGAACAAGCAAAAAAGTTAATGAAAAGAACTGCTCGTATGACTAAAGAACAATCAGATGAAGTTAAAAAATTACTTCAATTAATGGGAATTCCATGTATTGAAGCTAATTGTGAAGCAGAAGGTACTTGTGCTGCATTAGTTAAAGCAGGAAAATGTTATGCAACAGCTACAGAAGATATGGATGCACTTACATTAGGATCCGAGCATGTAGTAAGGAAGTTTAGTGCAAATGATAATAAGAAAGATCCAATAAGGGAATATTCGTTATCATCTATTTTAGAAGAGACAGGATTTACTATGGAACAATTTATAGACCTTTGTATTTTACTTGGATGTGATTATTGTGAAACTATTAAAGGAGTTGGTCCTATTACTGCATTTGAATTAATTCAACAATATAAATCAATAGAAAATATATTACAACATCTTTCAGATAAATATAAAGTTCCAGAAAATTGGAAATATAAAGAAGCAAGAGAATTATTTTTACATCCTGATGTAGCAGATTTTAGTGATTATAAATTAGAATGGAATAAAATTGATGAAGAAGGTATTAAAAAATATCTTGTCACTGAAAAACATTTTAATGAAGAACGTGTTTCAAAAGGAATTGAAAAATTAAAGAATGTTAAATCAAAAAAAGCACAAGGAAGATTAGACTCTTTTTTTAATGTTAAAAAAGTTCCATTATCTAAATCAGAAGCGGCAAGTGGTGTTAAAAGAAAAAAACCAACTACAAAAGCAAAAGAAAGTAGAAAAAAGAAATAATACAATTATTATTATTTTATTATATTAATTAAAATAAAAAATAAAAATTTTAATAAAATAAGTAACACAATCAAAGTAAAATTAACTGATTTTCAATCAAGGAGTTATAAAATCATTAATTAATAAAGTTCCTTAATAATCTAATTTTCTTGAAAGTTTTTTACCATCTTCTATCTTCTTTTCACCTTTATAATTAAAACTATGACTTTCTGTATTTATTTGTTTAATTTTTTTAGTTCTTTTCTCATATTTTGCTCTCATCTTAGTTCTTGCATTTTGTGGTTTTCTTCCTCGAGTTAAACCTCTTCCATGTTCAACAACTTTATCTACAGGTCTATGATAATTATCAATATCATTTTCTTCTTTTTGTGCTTTTGTTAGTCTTAACTTTCTTTTATTTTCTATTTCTTTACGTAAAGAAGAAGTAGTTTTAATTTCTTCATCTTCTTGATTTATTTTTGATTGTTTTTTGGATGGTTTCATTAATGTAGTAGTTTTTTTCACAGCAACATCTTCTTCTCCACTTGCTTTTCTTTGAGATTGTTTCTTTAAAGCTAATTCAGCTAATAACTTTTCTTCTAATTGAACTTCATCACTATCAAAATCTTCATTATCTATCCAATTTGCTTTGTCTGTTTCATCAATATTTGGTTGATTTACTTTTTGAAGTTCTTGACATTTTTTAATTTCTTTCATTTCTTCTTCATCAACAAAATCTCCAAGAGCATCTTCCATATCCATACCACTAATGTTTATTCCTTCTTCTTCACTTTCTTCCATTTTTTCTTCTTCATTCTCTTCTTCTTCACTCATTTCAGTAATAATATTATTATTATCTTTTATTTCTGTATCTTCTTCTCCTTCTTCAATACTTTGTTCTTTATCTTCTTTATATTCTTCTTTATAAGTACCATCATAAAAACTTTTAATAGTTTGTTTACCAATTTTCTTTGTTATTTCTTTTATATTTTCAAAAAGTTGTTGATAAGTTTTACATGTCTCAACTATCGGATGTTCTTCTCTTCCATCCCCTTTACATAATATTTCAATTAACACATTAAGTATTAATCCACTTTCTACTTTTTCTCTTAATGAAGTAAATTTCCCTAAAACCCCTCCTTCTTTACTTTTTTCAAAAGAAATTTTATTCGCTAATAAAATTCTTTGAAGTAATTCAGGAAACATTTCTTTAATAATCTTAATTCTTTCTTCATCATTTCCTTCAATTTGTACATTTGTTGAATCAATCATTTCATTAAACTTCTTTAACTGAAACTCTTCAGTTTCTTCAGGTGGTGCTTCTTTAGTTTTTTTCATTAATTGCTCAAATTCTTCATCACCACCAAAATCACTTACTTTTAAATTTGATAATAACTCTTTCTGAATACGTTGAGCTTCTTCTGCATCTCCTTCAATAAATTCATCATTTTTTAATTCTTTATCTCTTTTCTTTTGATAATAAACGTCAGTATTTTTTCCCCAATTATCTCTGTCAATTTCTGCATCATCACTTTCTTGTTCAAGTTCCATCTTTTCTTCACTGCTCATCTCTCGTTTTGTTTTTTGTAGGGTTTATTATTTTTTTTTAATTTTTTTTATTTTCTTCTTCATTTGTCATTTCCTTCTTTCTTTTACCATTAATTGTTTTTTTAATTTTTTATTTTTACCATTGTGATAAGAATGAAACTTCTTCAAATAACACAAATTCATTAATAAAAACACACAAATTAATAATAAAGAACTATAAACAAACCCTAAAAACGCACTTAGAGAAGAATGGCACAGGGTGATTATATTGAATTACATAGAAAGAGGTTTGGAAGACGTTTTGATCATTTTGAAAGACTTCGTAAAAAAAGAGCAAGAGACGCTAAGTTGAAAGCATTAAAAGCAAAAACATTAACAGGAATTAAAGCTAAATTATTCCATGAACAACAACGTAAAGAGAAGGCTGCAATGAGAAAGAAGTTATCAGTTAATAAAGAAAGTAAAGTTGATCAAAAAGTTTCTAATAATGATCATGTTGGAGCTATTCCTTCATATTTGATGGATAGAACTCAAGTATCTAAAGCAAAGGTATTGAGTAATATGTTAAAGCAAAAACGTAAAGAGAAGGCAGGAAAGTGGGATGTTCCATTACCAAAAGTTAAGCCTATTGCTGAGTCAGAAGTCTTTAAAGTTTATAAGTCAGGTAAACGACAAAATAAAGCATGGAAACGTTTAGTTACTAAAGCCACTTTTGTTGGAGAGAATTTCACAAGAAAACCACCTAAATATGAAAGGTTTATTAGACCTGCAGCTATGCGTTTTACCAAAGCTCATGTTACTCATCCTGAATTAAAGACAACATTTAATATGAAAATACTTGGAGTTAAAAAGAATCCACAAAGTCCATTATATACTCAACTTGGAATTATTACCAAAGGTTCTATTATTGAAGTTGATGTATCTGAGTTAGGTCTTGTAACATCGTCCGGTAAGATTGTATGGGGCAAATATGCACAAGTAACAAATAATCCAGAAAATGATGGGTGCATTAATGCTGTTTTATTGGTTTGATTGATATTTGAATTACTTTTTAATACTTATCATTTTTTGTCATTTTATGAAAAGAAAAGTCAACACAAAATGATTTAATATCATTATATCTTATCTTTGTTAATTACTTTTAACTTTATGTCTCAAAATGATATACATCTTTTACAAAACAACATCCCTATTCATAGAAATAAGGTTATGTTGTTTTCAATGTATGTATCATGTGGTATTTCTATTGTATTAATAATTATTATGATTATTGTATGCATAATTCCTGTACATTTACCTTCAAATCATTCTATGGATAAAAGTATTCAATCATTTAAAGTTCTTAATATGACATTAATGAATTTGTTAAATGAAACCCAATTATTAAATGGCTCAGTTAATCGATTAAGTTGTCGAGGTGGTGTATTGTCGCAATCATTAAATAGTACAGTGACAAGTCTTTTAGATATTTATAAGAAAGATGAATTATTATTATCTTCTTCAACTGAAATGATTGCAGGAATTATAAAGTTATTAGAATTTCTTAAAATCCAAAAATTTGATATTATAATTAAACAACCATTTATTGACCAATTAAAGAAATTGAACCAATACCTTATTTATTTACAAACTCCACTAAATCAATTGATTTACAAAATAAATGATGTTGTTTATGATTTTATTGCTTATACTTATCAAATTGATTTTCTCTCTTTTCATTTTAATCATTCATTATTAGGTTCTGACTTAGCTAAGTCATTGTTAAATCGTTCTTTCAATTTAAGTGATGTCTTACTTGAACATTCCCAGTCAATTCAAAAATGTTATTACTTTTATGTTATTATCATTGAAATTTTATGTTTTATTATTTTGATAATAACGTTCTTACTAACATTCTTTTTATATCGCCGTTCTTTTAAAGTAACTGAAGTGTCTGAAATTGATCCATTATTAAGTCATTAACTTAATAAAACTAAATATTTAATTAAAGAATTTACTAACATCTTTTGCTGTGACAATACTTAGAGATGGTAATGTTTTATATAATTCATCAATAAATGGATCTAAAAACTCACTAATTGATGTAACATTTTGTACTTTTTCATAACAACTTAGTAGTGTTGCAGCAGCTTGAGTTTCTAATGAAAAGCCATGCAATGATAATCTTCGTATAATCTCATTTAATGCAATTGACATTTCTACTCAAGTTAAATTAATTTTTATAATTTTTTAATAGTTTTATTTTAATTTTTTATAGTTTTTAATTGTTTGTTATATAAAATATCAAAAACATATTTTAGGTAAAAATTTATTCAAATATTGTTTTTCTTTTTCCTTTTATAAAGAATTTTCAAATACAATGATTAAAAAAAGAATTTTGGATGACAAAATAGAAAAAGATATACTAAAAGAAGTCAAAAGAAACTAAAACTATTACCAAAAAATAATTTTTGCATTATACAAAAATTGGATCTAATTTTATTAGCGATAGATTCTTCTGATCAAAAAAATAAGTATTGAAGAAGTTAGTAATTATGGATTTGAAATAAGGAACTAACAATTTCATACTATTGATGCTAGTCTTTATTCTTCTTATTACATTAAGTTGTGCATCAGAGTATGAAGACTTTTCATTAAATAATTTTAAGGATCTTTTGTCATCTGACAAAGACTCCGACAACAATTCTTTACTTAAAGACAAAAAGTCTAAGTCTTCTTCTGGTACGAAAACAAAACGTAATGTTAAACCAAAAAAAACGAATAAACCAAAGTCGGTTAAAAGGACGAAAAAACCAGTTACTAAGCCAAAGACAACTACAAAACCAGTGGCAAAACCAAAAAAGACTAATAAGTCAAAAACAGTTACAAAACCAAGAACAACCACAAAATCAAATAGAAAAGTTATGAACAAAGCAGTTAAAAAACCAGTAAATAAGAAAACAACTGTTAAGCCATTAACAAAAAGGATGTATGGAAAAAAATCAAGTGTAGTTAAAAGAACAACAAAACAACAAAAGACAACCATAACAAATAAAAAATCTTCTGGCTCTATGGTTAAAGGAAAGGTAGTTTCAAAACCTCTCGTTAAAAAAGGTTCTAAGTCAACTAGAAAATCTTCTGTTCAACAAAAAAATAAAAAAGTAGTAAAGTCAAATGCTAAACCAACATTAAAGAAGAATAAATTAAATTCACCTTTTAAATTCAAATCAGCAAACAAAACAAAGGTACAAAATAAAAAAACATTAAAACCAATGAAGAAGGGATTAACTGGAAAAAAATCAACATTTACAAATACAAAAAAACAATCAACAACAACTAAACCATTAAGTACTAAATCAAAGAAAAACATTAAACCATTAACTAAGGGATTATCAGGAAAAAAAGTTCCAACTTTTTCTGTTAAGGGTAATAAAAATGTAACAAGTGTTTCTCAACCTACCAAATCAACAACAAATACAAACACTAAAATTATTAACGAAAAAGGTAAAAAAGGAATTGAAGCTTCAATAGATTATAAAGGAGATAAATTATCAACAAACTCACAAGCAAAATTTACTAAAGATGGAAATGGAAAGACAACTTCATTTGGAATAGAAGGTACTTATCAAGCAAATAAAAACGTTTCTTTTAATGCTGGATTCAATTTTGAAAATAAATATGGACAAAAAACAAAAAATTTTAACTTTGGAACTACATACACAGGAAGTAAATTTAATGGAAATGCAAAATATAATAAAAAATTGGATCCAATGGGAAAGTCTAGTTTATTCCAATATAATGCAGAATATAAACCTAATAAAAATTTCACTTTTGGAATTAGTGGAAGTAAAGAAAATAAATATGGAAAAACTACAAATACTTTTAATGGTAAAATAGGTTTTGTTGGAGAAGAGAAATTAAAAAAAGCTGACCTTTCTTATAATAAAGTAACTGGTCCAAATGGAGTATCTAGTAATATACATTATGATGCTAATTACAATCCAGACAATAAATGGGGAATCGGAATAGACGGAGATATTAGTAATAAAAATGGAGAAAAAACCAATAAATTTGATTTGACTGGACATTATAAATATAAGAAATTAGACGCTAATTTAAATTTTAATCATATCAAAGATGGAAAAGGTAAATCTAATACTCTTTCTGGAAAATTTGATTATAAAGCATCAAATGCTTGGAGGGTTACAGGTGATGGATTTATTTCAAATAAGTATGGACAAAAGTCTAATGGATTGAATGTAAAAGCAGATTATAAAAGTACAAATACTACTGGAAATATTTCAGCTGGGTTTAAGAATGATGAAAAAGGTAAAAGTAATTATGTTAGTGGCAATATTGTCAGTAAAGTTAATAAGAATTTAACATTATCAGCAAATGGTAAAATATCAAATGATTATGGTAAAAAAACAACCGACATAAATGGACAGGCTGTGTTTAATGGAGATAAATTACAAGCTAACCTTGCATTAGGACATAAAAAAGATACAATGGGTGTAAATAGTTATATCCAAGGTAACTTTAGTTATAAGGCTAATAATAACTGGACATTTACTGGTAATGGTAAGGCTAATAACCAATACGGAAAAAGGTCTAATGAATTTGGTTTTGGAGTACAACACACTGGTCCTAAATTAAGTGCATCTGCTTTATATCAACAAACAAACAATGCAGCAGGAAAAAATACAAAAGTTAATGTGGATGGTACTTACCGTGTTAATAATAAAACAGTAATAACTGGTAATTTAAATTCTGTTACAAATAACGGTAAAAGAGACACAGGTTATGGTATTGGAATTAAATATAATCCAGACGAAAACTCAACTATAAATGCTAATTTCAAGCATAATGGAGTAACTGGTTCTAATGTGTTTGGAATTGGAGGTAATGTTAAAAACGATAAACTAGATCTTAGTGCTAATGCTGAGTTTGGAAAGAATAACAAAAAGGCAGACCTTACCCTTTCATATAATCCATCTGATAAATTCTCTGTTGATGGTAAAGTTGGTTATTCTTATGCTAATGGACATGGATCTTCTAATTACGGAGTTGATTTACACTACAAACCAGATGAAAAGTGGGATATTTCTGCTGGTGTTTCTCGTTCAAATGAAGGAACTACTTGGAGTGCTAAAGCAGCACATAAAATGAATAAAGACTCTTCGTGGTTCATTAGTGCTGAAAAAGGACCATCAGGAAGTCCACGATATATGGGAGGTTTACAAATATCCTTTTAATTAAAATCGTACTTTGTTTCATTTCTTTTATTAATTCGATTTTGTTATTCAGAAATAACTTTAAATAAAACATTATTTTGTTATTAATATTTAATTGCTTTTTATTAATATAACTTTGAGTAAATCAAAAGTTTATTTAACCATACTTATTTTTTTTTGACTGAATTACTTCATTCTAAATATTATCATATCAAATATTAGACCAGTTTTATTCTTTTTATCTAATACACATATATCTGGTTTTTTGGTCATAAAAATATAATATATGAATTATAAATAAGCAATGAAATTATATTAAAAGAGAAATTAATGTTACAACACTTATTCCTGAACAATCTAAATAAGAATAACAAAAAATTTTCGCTCTTTCTTATTAAATTATCAATCAAAAATATAATAAATATTATATGTATTGATTATAAAATATATAAGGAGATAATATTAAATTAAGTATTATTAATGAAGTTATAAAAATATTTTTTATAAAAAAGAAAATACAAAACAGGATGATAAAAAAGAAACATATTTCATTGGATTAAATTTAAAATTGATTGTTTAAATATATCATTGATATTCTGTTTTAATTATTAATAATTATTCATAATATTATTCATATGAAATAATTTTTATTTCATATATTGTTAAATTCCTGAACATATTATTATTACATACTCATCATACATCAAGTAATATAAATCAATTATTTATTTAAATATTTACATTTTCTTTTAATGTTCTTTGTAGGTATTATTTCATAACTATTTATTAATTTTACATTCTTGTAATATTCAATTCAACAATTAATATAAATTTGTTTGTGATTTAATTTCATCAAACAATTATTCAGTGTTATATCAATAACTTTAAATAATAAACTTAATTTTTAATGATTATGATTATTATCTTTAGTTTATTGTTAAATATATTAAAATATATAATAGTCACTTCATTAAACTATAACATATAGATTAAGATTATATTAACTATAGCTCAACGACTAACTCTTTTCTATATGATCTTATTTATTGTTGTATAGTTTCATATAAAATAATTATACCATTGTTTTAGTATAATAAGAATTTTTCAAATCACTCTTGATTTAAATATTTTTATTTTCATAATAAACAATTCAACATTATTTCTTCTACATTGAGTAAGTACAATAGAAATATCGATTTATGAAGCTATATGACTATCACTCATTTTTGGTATTTTTTTCAAAAAAAACATGTTATGTCATATGAATAAAATAATTGACATTGAAATTCTTTACAATTAAATTTATTGTATTTTTCATTAATTTTGTTTCATATCAATATTTATTCTTAAGACATTCTATTTAACTAGATCTAGTATTAGAATAATGAACAAAGAGGATAAAAACAAAATAAAGAATGATATTTGAAATAATTCAAATAATAATTTTTTGTTATATATTACAATAGAATTTGAACAATAAGCGAATCAAATGGTAATAAACAATAATAAAAAACTATAATTATAGTAAAACAACTATAAAAATTTATTAACTATTTTGAAATATTTAAAAAACCCTAGTAGTGAACTAAGAAAGAACATCAGCACAATGGTTTGTTTCATTCAACTAAGTGTTATTATTATTAAAAGGAAAAAAACAATAGATATAACTAACAACATTTAGCCAAAACAAGTTCAAGAATTCAAACAAATTTTGAAACTTTTGAAATCCGGTTCAATTCGTGCCGTTCG